ACTTTCACCGTTCCTCACCTGGACCACAATTCAAATGCACCATTCTTCTTGGGTCTTCCTTATCACAAGTCTTAGCAACGAGGAAGGATGCAACTGTCAAAGAAGAAGACCCACGAGCACGCCTGAGAGGAAGCAAGGTCCTTGAGCAAACTCAGCTCCCAACAGCCCCCAAACGTCTCAGTGGACACAATGATCTACGCGCCTCTTCCTCTCCAACACCCAGTGTTCCGCTTCTTGATTCCAGCATGCAGCTGACTCTAGTTAGCCACGGGAATGACACTCTGGAAGGCCACCACCAACAATCACTTCACGAATGTGGAATCATTGCACTCGGGTAAAATGCAGGACTGGGCTCCTGAGAGCCTCTGGTCACGATGTTTCTGCCAAGCCATCAATACATAGAGAAGTCCTGGTGGCATCGTGGGTTAAGTGTGGGGCTGCTAATGGGAGGGTCAGCAGTTCAAAACTACCCAGTCATTCCACAGAAGGAAGAAGAGGGCTGCGCCCCCGAAAAGGTTTACAGTCTCGGAACCCCACAGATGGGCACTTCTACTCTGTCCTATATGAGTCAAAATTGATTTGATGGCAGTGGGTTGGTTTGTTTGTTTTGGGGGTTATTAATACATAAGCTTGTTGTATGCATATTTCTGTTTTAAAAAAATCCCACCTCGTTTGACACCTACTGCAACTCATTCCCACTAAATTTTCGGTCAGCAACACTGTTCATGCATGCCTAAACAAAGATCTGTATTTTCTCCAAAAGGCGTAGGAACGCTAGTCAGCACTTCCATTTGGGGGTCATTTCAAACCATGAATCACCAGCACGAATCACAGAGATACGAAGTGCATGACACCCCCGTGGAAGGGACACTTGTTTACATGAATGAGCGAAGGAACAAGAGCTGGTTTCCTGGGAGCGCTGGGAACAACATCACCCTGCTCAACCTCAGGCTAAAACAAGCACATTGGGAGGCTGAAACACACCCCTGCTCCAAGCATGTCTGTGAGTGACTGTGAAATTGCCACACTTCGTGTGTTGAGGACTACAAGGAAGGCTAGCAACCAACAGTTAAATGAGCAAATACTGGCTGACAGGTCGGCAGTTCAAACCTCCCCAGAAGTGCCTCCGAAGGCAGGTCTGGTAATCTGCTTCCAAAAGATCACAGGCTTGAAAACCACGCGGGGCCATGCCACTTTGCATGCATGGGAATGGACGCAGAGGCAACTCACAACAACACGAGAAGCCACAAATACGGGATCTGCAAATCACGGGGGTCAGCTATGTTTATTACTGTAAGTTACTAACGTTTCTGCACATATGCCTTTCTTTCTGCATCTTGATTTTTGGGACATTTACTTCCTGCTTAGCTCCGAAAATAAGGATGACCCGTTGGGCAGATCAGTAGTTTGGACACAAAAGGAGGAGACAGTGTGCTTGTGCCCCACAGGGTGTTTGCACTGTGCCCAACAGTCGCTGTGAGTCCAAGGTGCCTTGAAGGCAGTGGGGAATCTCTGAAAAGGAAGCTGCTGTCTCTCCACTTGTTTTTGTTACTTGAGTTGCCTTGTTTTCCGTTGCTGCCGGTGATGCGTATGGTTTTAAACTGTATAAAGTATGCTTTCCACTCTTTACCACTTGGCCAACCATTATGAGCATATGAGCAAAAAGCAAGCAGAAATAGAAACACCTCTCAAGGGTAGACCAAAACCATTTCTTGAGGCAAATTCACATCAAAAATCGGCCTGGATTTCAGTGCCTGAACATAACATTAGCCAGTGATTTGCAGTGAACAGCCGTGGCTTGCACAATGGGCAGAAAGCTGGAACTAACTTGCTTGGCTTACAGGAAAGAGAGGGCTCCCTCTGGTTCTGGGGAGTCACGGAACTGTTGGCTTGTTCCGCATGGAGAGGGTCTTTCAGTGACTACAACGATCAGAGGGGAAACAGTCTTTATTGGTGAGCTACACGTATGGGTCAAAAACAAAAAAACTCCAACCCCTCACCGTTGACAAGGGAGAGAACGTGAAATTAAACAAATATTTTTTTTTCAACTTTCCACAAATTTTATTCTCATGGGTTTTACTTCAGTGGTTCTCAACCTGTGGGTCATGACCCCTTTGAAGGTCAAACAACCCTTTCCCAGGGGTCCCCCGATTCATAACAGTAGCAAAATTACAGTGATGAAGTAGCAACAAAAATAATGTTATGGTTGAGGGGGGGGTCACCACAACATGAACTGTGTTGAAGGGTCGCGGCAGGAGGAAGTTTGAGACCCACTCACTGTCTTACTTCTTTGGTAGAACAACTCAGAGACAGGCTTGGCATGAAAAACACATTCACATTTCAGTTGACAGGTAACAATATCAGGCATCAAAGAGAACCAGAGGGCAAGTATGCTTCCAGAAGGCTCGAAGCGGTGTCCCGTCAAATGTGCTGGTTCTGCATTTTCGAGTGAGAGAGAGAGGTGCACTGACATATTCTTCTCAGGCAGGGTTTCATGGGCATTCGTTTGGATTTCATTCAAATGCATCGAGAGAACTTAAAACCAAAACCAGACAGACAAACTCACTCATCGAGTAGTCCATCTCTGAGTGGCCCTGTAGGGCAGAGGGGAACTGTCCCTGGGACTTTCTAAGACTATAACTCTTTACGGGAGTTGAAAGTAGACGTGTTCCTGCAGAGTGGCCGGTGATTTCAAACTGCTGACCTAGTGGTGGGCAACCCGACTCACAACCACTCTGCCACCGGGGCTCCTACGTGGACATCAGAAAGTCCCCTTTTCAATAAATTCAGAGATGCCTCTGGGTGGTACAGTTAAGTGCTTAGCTGCCAACAAAAAGGTCTGCATCTGCCTATAAAGAGCCTGGTGATCAATCTCCCTCCAAACCTGCAAACCCTGAAAGGCGCAGGCAGCAGTCTCTGAAACACCAGCGTCGCCCAGCGCTGGACTGGATCAAAGGGGACTGGAATCAATCATTTTGAACCCGTATTAGTCATCCCGTTAGATACAATCTGGGTTCATTTTAGAAGCTTAGCTTGAAGCATGCCTTTTCGTTTCTCCAAAATACTTCTGGCTCTCATCCTGTAAAAATGCATTTTTCTTAGCAAAACTCCCTCTCGAAATGTGACCATTTAAGGAAGGATTGGGGTTTTCATTAATGGCAGGGAGGGTCAATTGTGTTTTGTAGGGTTTTGTGATTTTTGAAGGGGGCACACGGAGGCATTGTGGCGGTTCCAGGGCTCAGGGGAAGCCACTCCGCTTCTAGCCAGGACACAAGTGCTCAGAATCCTTATAAAATTAAAAACAAAGCAAAACTTCTTATTCACCACCGAGGCAACTGCCTCACTGCAAAGGCAGTTTATTTTGTTTTATTTTTTAGCAAGTTCATCTGTTAGACCAAGAATTCTATTTTTCGACTCAGCAGTATTGTCGGAACCTGGAGAACATTTTCTGCTATTTCAATAGCCCTAAAGAAGTTAACTAGTAAGGCAATATTAAAATATTCCCATGCAGCCACATGACTATTTATATAGTCAAGTCCAATAAAAGATCGTTTCATGAGCATACAGACGACCATAGACTTCAAAGGGATATTGCCCATTTAAAAGAATATAATCACTAACTAGAAAAGCAGATCTTAAACTCTGGGGTATCTTTTTGCTCCTTTGGTGGAGACGTAAGTGTGACGGAAATTATTATTCTCACTTTATTATTTTCTAGCCTATTGCATTCCATACTGTGAAGTCGGGCCAAGTTCCAGTCTTCTATCACTTGCAACAAAATTCATGGAGCTCGGTTACACCAAAATCGAGCTGGCAAGATTTTAGGGGTGTCTCTCATGAGGTGTTGCTCCTGAAACAAGATTTACAGGTTGCAAACCCTACTTCTCCCCCCACCAAAAGAAAAGGAGAAGAAGAAAAAGAGAATTCAATCCTTTGATCATTACCATTTTTTAAAATGGATTTGTCATGTAATCTCATTATGCTGGACACAATTTTATTGTCGCATGAAGAAAACGTTGTTGCTCCTGCTGGTGCTGTTAGGTGTTGTCTCGCTGGTTCCGGCTTCTGGCAACTCTTGGGCCACAGAACATGGCCTGGTCCTGGGCCGTCCTCACAGTGTTTCATTTGAGCCCATGGTTGCAGCCATTGTGTCAATCCATCTCATCAGGGGTGTTCCTCTCACTTGCTGTCTTTCTACCTTACCAAGCATGATGGCCTTTTCCAGAAACAGGACCTCTAGTGATAACATGAGACTTCCTACACTCCAAAGAGTGACCGTCTCAGAAACCCACAGGGGCAGTTCTGCCTTATAGGATCGCTATGGGTCAGAATCAATTCAATGGCAGTAAGTTTGGCGTAAAGAAAATATGAGTAACAAACTGATACTGTGAGGCCTTGTGATGGGGTGACACAAGGACTGGGTCTCCAAGGCTTAGAGGGATAAGACACACACGTATGTGTGTGGATGAACAGATAGATAGGCAGATAGTAGATACAGAGATAGAAAAAAATAGGCAAGTATCTGAGTAACTAAAGCTTTGTAAATATTCAAACTGGCTGGGGGAATCCACTTACTGGTCTAAATTGTCTAATTTGGCTGCCTGTAAGAATAAAATTGATGAGCTATTTAGATAATTGCCATTTTGTTGTTAACTGCATAGTGTGAAAACAAGTCAAATGGCACACGTGTGGGCCAGAGCCATGGAGACACATAGATCTCTAACCAGAAGTAATCCAGTTAGGAGCGCCTGACAAGCTAGGCTCTGAGAAACACTTCCCATGCATTGTCTGAGGCAACCCTCACAGCCCTTTGTGGGAAATGCCCGCTATGGTTGACCTTCTTCACAGATGAGAACCCTGATGGACACTAAGAAACACTCCCGGCCTCTTCCGCTGGCCCGCCCGGCCGCACCGGTGGCTCATCGAGGCGTGGCCGGCCACCGACCGCCCGCCCACGACCCCCTGGGGCCCGCGACTGTTCCCAGACCCCCGCCGCCGCCATGAACATCCGCAATGCGAGGCCGGAGGACCTGATGACCATGCAGCACTGCAACCTGCTGTGCCTCCCAGAGAACGACCAGAGGAAGTACTACTTCTACCACGGCCTCTCTTGGCCCCAGCTCTCTTACATCGCGGAGGACGAGAATGGGAAGATTGTTGGCTACGTGTTGGCCAAAATGGAGGAAGACCCAGATGACGTGCCCCATGGACACATTACGTCACTGGCTGTGAAGCGCTCGCACCGTCGCCTTGGCCTGGCGCAGAAGCTGATGGACCAGGCCTCCCGAGCTATGATTGAGAACTTCAACGCTAAATATGTCTCTCTGCACGTCAGGAAGAGTCACCGGGCCGCCCTGCACCTCTACTCCAACACTCTCAATTTCCAGATCAGTGAAGTGGAGCCCAAGTACTACGCAGATGGGGAAGACGCGTACGCCATGAAGCGGGACCTCACCCAGATGGCGGATGAACTGAGGCGGCAGCTGGAGCTGAAGGAGAAGGGCAGGCCGGTGGTGCTGGGGCCCGTGGAGAACAAGAACAACTCACTGTCGAGCGCAGGCGAGGCCTCCCGGGAGGATAGTGGTGGGGACAGCAAGGACCTCAGTGACGTCAGCGAAACCACAGAGAGCACTGATGTGAGGACAGCTCAGAGGCCTCTGACTCAGCCTCCTAGAGCCTGACCGAGCGCTGAGCCCCACCAGGCTGCAGCCCACCTCGCCCTAACCGCTAGATTGCCCAATAAAAGTCACCCCTGTCCCTAGGGAATCTGTGTCAATGTGCATGCTGGCCTTTCTCTGCCTGGCTCAGCAGGAATGCCG